CCCTGGGCTGGGAGGGCAGGAATGGTTAATGAGGGTGGCTAGCCTGCCAGAGGGTCCAACCAGGTGCTCTCTCCCCCGCCATGCCGCCATGCTTAGTGCCTGGCAGAGGCTGAGGGATGTAGAGTCTTGCTTGTGACTACAGAAAGGATCCGGGACGGCTCAGTGATTCAGATACCATCTGTGCTTTATGAGGGCTCTATGGCTTTTGGCTAAGCCTCTCCCTCTTGTGGAGACTCCATGCCCCTGTCTGTGTGGTAGGGAGACTAGAGGAGCAGTGAGTCTTGGTCCCTTTGGCTCTGCAATGGGAACCAATGGAGGAGCTCAGGCTGCTCCAGGAGACGGCGCTGCTCTTGTGGAGTCCCAGCTACAAGGTTTTTTGGAGCTATGGACAAGAGCTGCAGAATGAAGGGCTTGCTAACTTTGTTAAGTGCTGGACTAAGGCTTCTGCGTTTAAGGTGTGTGTGTCTTCACATGTTGGCCTGAGTTGACCCATTGCCTGCTTTCTGAGAACTTTTTGGGATAGTGCCCATGTTGCCTTGGCCTGCTGTGCATGTCTCAGTGGTGGGCTATGCGGTCTGGGCCCCTTTCCTGGCTGCCCCACTAAGTCCTGGGTTCAGCAGTTTTGCTAGGTCTGAGCTTTACTCTTACTGCCGAATTTCAGCACGTACCCTAAGCCTATTTTGGTTCCTTTAGTTGAGCTGAGAGCATGGAGGTAAACTCAACACCAACCTCCAGGTACCGGGTAGCAGGATACCATTCTGGCTTTTGGGAATTTGCCTTGCTTGCCAAAGTGAAATGTGTTTTGTGGTTATGTTCAGAGTTTTTCTTAACTTGGAGCCTTTTTAAGTAAAAAGGCTATCAGACCATCTTTTTCAGCTTTACGGTACAGGGGAAGAGCTCTGAGGCTCAACCTCGGAGGAGGTGTTGATTTTCTCAAGGCTACTGGTCCTCAAACTTGTCATATGTTGTGATCACTTGAGGATTTTTCTTTTTTTGTAAATAATGCTGTCTGGACTCAATCTCCTGAAACTAATTGATGTGAGGATAGACTGGGTGTCAGGATATTTAAAAGCTCCCCTTATGATTTGAATTTATAGTAGCTAGAAAATAAAACTGCAAATTTATTTTCTCTGGGCAGGAAAACTTCACCTGTTTTTGTTCCAAAGTCATAGTTCTGAAAACCTCCAGTAAAGCTGGAGCTACCTCCAGCTTTAGTGTTCTCAGAGCTGAGAGCCAAGGACCAAGCTGTTATTATATTCTGATCATTGAGATGGAATATGTTATTTTTATTTTTTAAGATTTTTTTTTTATTGGAAAGTCAGATATACAGAGAGGAGGATCTTCTGTCCAATGATTTACTCCCATGGTGGCCACAATGGCTGGAGCTGAGCCTATCAGATGTCAGGAGCCAGGAGCCTTTTCTGGGTCCCCCATGCCGTGCAGTGTCCCAAGGCTTTGGGCTGTCCTCAACTGCTTTCCCAGGCCACAAGCAGGGAGCTGGATGTGGAAGCGGGGCAGCTGGAACATGGACTGACACCCATATAGGATCCCAGTGTGTGCAAGGCGGTCACCTAGCCATTAGGCTACCACGCCGGGCCCAGAGATGGAATATTTTGTTTATAATCAAATGGTTAATTAGAGGGAAGTTATCTTGTTTGTTTACAATTGAATTAGGAATACCACATGTTAGAAAGGACGTGGGTTTTTGAGACTGTATTCTTGGGTTCTAGTCATGGTTTTGCTTGTGTCTTCTCTGATCTATGATGGGTGACAGCTTCTTGGAGCCTGAGTCTCTCCAATTGTAAAATTAGGACAAGGCCTATCACTCAGAGAAGGTTTGATAATTCAAAAGATAACATCTGCAAGGAATCTGGTATAGAAAATGGTAGTAAATGGAATTGAATTTGTTCCCTGTCTGCCAGGGATGAGAATCTTTTACCACTGTGACTGATGGATTGGATTTCCTCAGCTTTCTAAGCTGTTCTCAAGGCCTACCAGGAGGCGTTCTGCTTCTGTGATGTCCTCATTTTGGAAGCAGAAGCGCCGCCTCCATTGAGGAGAGTCATGTGACTCTGCTTCTCAGTATTGATGTTTCTTTGTGGAAAAAAAAAAGCTCCAGGCTGTTGATTTGCATCATCCAATTGGAAAGAGAACCCAGTACATGTTAAGTTTTTTATGGTATAATTTAAAGATGTACTTGTAACTAAATTATTATTATTATAAACAAATGTTGGATAATTTTATATGTGTCAGTATATATGAAATATCCCTGAGAGTTTATACTTTTTTATTTATGTTACCTGAAAAGAAACTTCATTTGGGGATCCTCAGTGAAATATGAGAAAAAAGCCCATTGACACAGCTTGATGGGGGAGAGGGGAGCCTCTGCAGGAAGAGGAGACAGAGCTGTGTATGACACAAAGAGCACAAGTCCTCTGTGTCCCTCCTGGCCCGCAGCCTCCCTGGGACAGTGCCTGTGCTGTCGTGTGATGTTGCCTCTTTACCCTCTGCTGCAGCTGCCCCTGTTCAGACGAGTGCCTGTTCACAAGCAGCCTGCCCCTCAGCCATAAGCCTGGCCCCTAACCTTCTGGCGAGGATCATAGCAAGTGGCCCAGGGGGATATTTATGAAGCATGGCTGCCATAGGCAGAGACAGATGATCCAAAAGTTCAGAGAAAGGGGGTGATTTGCTCTAGGTTTATGCAGTCATATGGACCAGACCTGGACTAGAACTCACAAATCTCAATGCGTAGCATTTCACAAGCACCGTACTTCTGTTTTCCTTTATCATCCTGGGCTGGATTATTTTCCATCACTCAGAAAATTTCCAGGTGGCTTCTTACTACTTTTGGTTGCTATGAGTACAAGAAATACACATGAAATGCACAAATCCAAAAGAAACGCAATTCTCCAATCTGTTGAAAAACCAGCCAGCATCCTTTAATGCCAAGTGCGAGTTATTTTTGTGTACAGACATACGAATGAATAGGTAAAAAGCAGTGTGATGTTTGTTGTACTAGAAGGATGTTCAGGGCATTGTGGAGTCCCAGAAGAGGGATTAATTAGCTTGTCTGGTGGGAAATCAACCCTGCTTCTCAAGGGTGGAACATTTGACCAGGTTTGAAAGGATGAATAGGAGTTTATCTGAAAGGGAGGAAAGCAAGAAAGAGTATTGCAGGGAAAGGCACTGCACTTTTAGAGTCATGTAATTGGTATGTTCAGGAGATAGGAATATTTGACACTGTAAAAATAGGTGTGTGGCAGATGAAGTTAGAGGTGAGATAGGGCTAAATTGGAAAAGGCCTTGTGTGTGCAGCTAGGGATTTTGGCTTGAAGGTCAAGGGAGGTAGTAGATGTGGAAGGAGGCCTTGACTGAACTTTTTCAGTTGCTTGCTCCTTCCTTCCTTCCTTCCTTCCTTCCTTCCTTCCTTCCTTCCTTCCTTCCTTCCTTCCTCTCTCCCTGAATGCAGGCATCTGAGGATATTTTTCCATTCCACCACTCAGACTGCCTGACTTGAAAACTGAAGTTATTGCCTCACCACGAATGAGATGGTGAGAAGTCCTGGATTGCTAGTCCACATTCATAGAGGACTGCGCAGTTTTTGAAAATTGTATGTAATTTAATCCTTATAACAAGTCTTATTTTCCCTTTCTGGTGTCTATAAAGAAACTGGAGAAGTAAGGTTAAGTGATTTCACCCAAGATCTTTGGATGATAAACATGGTATTTTGACTTAACATTTGTCTGACTGCAAGTCCAATGTTATCATTATTTTCAATTTTGATGAGATGAGGCAGAGAAGCCTGCAGTGGACCTGATGCATTTACTGCCCAGGCCAGCCCCTTCCTGGGTCATCATTATCCCAGGACACAGGTGCATTGTTTTGTCCAGGAAGCACAGTTCCATGTTCCCAGTGGGCTGGCTGCTCTTGGGGTGGACCTCAAGAGTCAGGCCAGTCTCCATTGTGGCAGTCTCATGACGCTTCTATAGTTCAGAAACACAATGCTGAAGAATGTGTTAGATGGTTATATTTTTCTCGGGGAAGGCATAGGTCTAGCTGTCACAGGTGAAATACACCTCTCCTGCCTCCTGGGAAGATTGTCCAGCAGAGGACCAGCTGAGCCCCAGGGGCAGGTGGATCACTCCTGACTGTTCCAGAAGAAAAATACCTCCTCCTGGCCCGGCATGATAGTGTAGTGGTTAAAGTCCTTGCCTTGAACACGCCAGGATCCCATCTGGGCACTGATTCTAATCCCAGCGGCTCTGCTTCTCATCCAATTCCCTGCCTCTAGCTTGGGAATGCAGTTGAGGACTGCCCAAAGCTTTGGGACACTGCACCCACATGGGAAACCTGGAAGAAGCTCCTGGCTCCTGGCTTCGGATTGGCTTAGCTTTAGCCATTGTGGCCACTTGGGGAGTGAGCCAGCGGACAGAAGATCCTCCTCTCTGTGTATCTGACTTTCCAATAAAAATAAATACATTTAAAAAAAAAAAAAGAAAAAGAATTCCTCCAGGAGCGGGTCGTTACAGTCTCCTAGAATCCCTGGTTTTGACAGCTTTATAGTAATCCTGCTGTTTGGTAATCTCAATGATCCGAAACTGTGCCCTGGGTTAAGCTGACATTCTGGAGCTTGGTCAGTGATGGGAGCTAGGCTCTCAAGGTGTGGAATGAGAAGTGGGAGAGAGCAGCAGAAAATTATCTGGTTGTCAGAGCAGAGTGGAGATTGAGCCTGTAGTAAAATGGCTTGGTGAGAGAGGAAGAAAGGTAGGAAAGGGCAAAAACAAGGGCATGAGGAGATCAGATGGGGCAGGCTCCTGATAGGATGGCCATGTTCAGAGCACCTATGTGCACCTATGTACAGGCTGTGGTATGGAGTGGAGCTCATTGTATCCCAAATGAGTCTTGACACATGCCTTAGTGTGCTTTGTACCAGAAAGCCTCCTGCCTAGGCTTCAGGTACAGTCTGTGGTGTTGTCTTGATTCTGCTTTTTCTCTTCCAGAGCTCATCTCCTGTCCAGGGTGCAAGCAAGTATTTCTTACCAGGGATGTAACTGAGGATTTTTTTCTGCAGTGCGTTGCTACTGGGCAACCCAAGATGGCCAGGGTAAGTCCAGATGGGGAAAGCAGGAGCTGCTGCCTTTCAGGTGTCTCCGATGCTTCTGTCCGTATGTCTGGCTTCATACTCTCCAATCAATTTGCCCAATCATTGACCCATCTTTCTATCTAAAAGAAAATGAAAACTTTTGAAATGGGGATAGCCAAATAGGGGTTTTTTATTAAGTGAAAATTGCAGGCTGTTCCATTTTTGTTGTTGATGATGCCCTGAACAGAGGGGAAATATATCTCAAGGTATATTAAGTACCACTTACTATATCTGAGTGTTTTTCGCTCTCTTAAAGCTCTTACTGAAAAATGCCAGTTCTGGGCTTTTATTTTCTCTTTTCTCCATCTAAATTGAAACTCATGTGAAAAGTTGGATTAAATGAGCTCATAAGTCTTGAATCCACTTGACAGTTACGTTTGTCCCAAATTTCTTAAGTTTCACATTCTACACTGAGTGATGCCCCTTCTGTTACTCTCTGCTGTGGTCTCCTTGCTACTGTAGTTTGTTCACTCATTGATTTACTAATTTGTTCCATGTCTAATGATTATTGAATGTGTGCCTGTGCCAGCCCCTGTGCTGGGTGCTAAGATGGTGCCATGTACCATAACTTCATGGAGTTTAATTTGTAAAACTTTGAGAATCAGCATCAGTTTGGTGGTCTGTATGACTCAGCTGTTTCCAGATCTCCCCCTCTCATGTTTCTGCATTAACTCTGCAAGATGTTTGCTAACCAAAAGAGCAAACACTCAGACAAGGGACTCTTAGGTCAGGAAGACCTCAGGTGTGGGAATGCAGCTCTGAAAATTGATCCGTACTTGCTCTTTCTTAGCTGTATTTGATCATCTCTCTGACTCCCATGTCTGGGACTTTCTCCCCTCTGCAGGCGGGTTGCTTTTTCTGCATTGACCTGTGTTTTGCCCCTTTGGTAACATTGTCTGCCTGGGAGTCTACCTGTCATCTAGTATTCAATTCATATGTTACCTGTTTCTGGAAACTTTTCTGGCCACTGCTAGACAGTTCCAGGAAGTTACCTTTGCCTTCTTAGCACTTGTATCCTTTAGGGCTAGTTGAATGGGTACCACCTGCCTAAGCTGTATGTCCTTGGGGCAGGTCTTTATTCATTTGGGTAGCCTCTGTTTCAGAATGGGACATATGTAACCAGCTCTTCTACAGTCACTGCTCATTTAGTTAGGAAAGGATGCTTGGCCTCTCAATCCCTTGCATGCCATTCCCAGGCAGCTCTCCAGAACAGACTGTATCTCAAGGTAGTAAAGGAAAGCCATAAAGGACTGGAGCCTAGAGAGTTGTCATTTGTAGAGGTGGGCCATAGTGAGGAGACATTATCAGTAATTCCACAACTCTGCTTCCAGAATTGCTCCGAGTGCAAGGAGAAGAGGGCGGCGCATATCCTGTGCACATACTGCAATCGCTGGCTGTGCAGCTCGTGTACCGAGGAACACCAGCACAGCCCTGCTCCTGGGGGCCCACTCTTCCCTCGGACCCAGAAAGGAGCTCCAGGTACCACTGCTGCCACACCCTAGATACATGCTGACGCTATAAGCCCTGGAGAATAGCTCTGACCTTGTTTCCCTTCTGCGAAAGAAAGTAAGGTTAGGCTTTTCCCAGAGGAAGTTTCTTTCAGAGACTAGCCTCTTCCCTTTTGGGAGTGGGGGTGCATCAGTCTGATGAAATGGTGTATGGAGAATAGTTCTGAATTACCATGGAGGCTGGGTGGGTTCCATGTGTTCCATTTCTCTTTGTAGCAACCATGCCTCATTTCTGGTTAGTTACTTGATTAGCTCAGCAGGGCTCCTCCATTTTTCCACTCGGCATTGTCTGAAATGACAATCTTCCTGGAAGTCTTCCCACATGGCTCCTGAACTGTGGGAGGGGTCTTACATTTGTCAGACACATGGGAACTAAGTTTGTGATCTTTATGATGTGGCCCAGATCTTGGCCAGGCTGATAGCTGTTTTTAGCCCTGCAATAACAGAATCCTGATTAATAAAGAGATGTACTTTAGGTATGAAAGACTCGGTATTCTGCAGTAAATCCACATGCATCAGTAGCAAACTGTGTCCTCACCCCCTGGCAGGTGGTGGGATGCTGGGACTTTGACAGGACAGCTGAGCAAACCCACCTAAGCTATACCTGAATTCCTTATAGTGCTCACAGACCCTCACTGCCAAAGATGGGCATCTTCTCTCAGTGTCATCTTCCCACAAGCTCTGTGTTTGTGCAGTGCCCATTAAGAACCAAGGGCTGTTTTACAGGATCTAGCTGCAAGATCTACCCTCACTATCCCCATGTTCTCCGGCAGGAGTGAATGGTGGTTCTGGGGACTTTGCCTTGTACTGTCCTCTGCACACACAGGAAGTGCTCAAGCTATTCTGCGAGACCTGTGATGTGCTCACATGCCATAGCTGTCTGATGGTGGACCACAAGGAACACAGGTAGGGTTGGTGACTGCCTGAAGTGTGCTTGGGAGGGCTCTGGACTCCCGGTGCGTCCAGATCTTCTCTCTGCCCAGGCCAACTTGTAGCCACTAGGTGAAGCTTTGCTCTGCTCTTGTAGACGTCCCTGGAAAATCCCTAGCAAGTCAACCTCCTACAGGGCCTTTGGCCTTTCCTAGATGTCCCATGGCCTCCACAGGCCTGACTGAAGCAGTATGCTGTAGGGTGTATTCAGATTGGGACTCAGGTCTCCTCTGCCTCTTGCTTGCCTCCTCTCTAGGTGCAGACATGTTGAAGAAGTACTGCAAAACCAGAGGATGCTTCTGGAAAGTGTGACTACACAGGTGGCCCATAAGAAGTCCAGTCTACAGACATCTGCTAAGCAAATTGAGGACAGGTAGCACAGGCTAGTCCTTTGCTGTTGCTAGAAATACTATTTTCCCAAATCCTGGGTTCAGATACCAGACCATTAGCTGTAGTGCCTATGAGGAGAATGTGTGTGTGGTTAAGCCGGTGTAGCATGTATCTTAGAAGACATATGTCATGACTGTGGAGTCTCAGGGCCCTTAAGTGGTCCTCAGGGCATGATTTGGTGATTTAACCCAATGTACATCAGAGCAGTTGGAGGAGTCTAGGCCATAGTGTGTGCCTTATGACTGAGGCAGGATTAAGTGCTTGAGAACAAGAATACAGGATAGATAATACAGGAGAGAATTCTGTTTATTGTGCAGGTGTATAGCAAGTTCATAGCAGTCACACTTTCCTGACATTTTCCATACAAATTTACAAATCATGTGACTTTGTTGACATGTTTTTTACAGGAAGAGGGATTATTATGTAATGATAGCTCATCACGTGGCATGCACTGGCTTGAGCATCATATGTGCAGTCTTTTGTTTAATTCTTTCAGTCAGGAACAGTCTCTCTTACAGACAAGGGGACTAAAATTCAGAGAGGTTAGGTGATTTGACTGAGCTGGGCCTTAAAGCCATTGTCTATGGCGACTTCAAAGCCAATGCTTCTTTTTGGTAAAAAAGAAAGGTCTTCCTGGTGTACTTCTCAAATGGCCACAACAGCCAGAGCAGAGTCAATCAGAAGACAGGGCCAGGAGCCTCTTCCAGGTCTCGCACAGGGATGCAAAGTCCCAAGGATTTGGGCCATCCTCTGCTGCTTTTGTCGGCCGTAAGCAAGGAGCTAGATGGGATGTGGAGCAACCAGGACCAGAACTGGTGTCCATATGGGATGCAGTGGAGGATTAGCCTGATAAGCCACCAGGTTGGCTCCCAAACCACTTCTGAAAATGTACAATTCAGTGGCTTTTGCTATATTCACAGAATTGCATAATCATACATAATTATTATCTGTTTTTAGAACATTTTTGTCCCTCCAAAAGCAACCCCATAAACTAGTCACTTTCCATTTCTGCTAATGTTTCCAGTCCTCAGAGATCACTAATCTGCTTACTGTCTTTTTTTACCTCATGGCATGGTTATTGTAGTGTCTTCCTGGTTCCAACAGGTAATTACAGGACCTCATGCCTTCTGTGTTGCCTCTGACTGATGAGCCTACTGCGTTGACCTGGATAGGGGCTTGAGGTTTATGTGGAGGAAACCCAGTTGTACTTAGCCTACTTAGAGCACGTGTGCCTGGTTGTGCCAAGGATAGGGAGGATGAGGAGTGTTCTCTTTATATTTGGTGCTTGCTAGGCCCTGCGCTAAGTGGGCAGCCTCCTGGTTGTAGACTGGTAGATTTGCTTTATCTCAGCCCTCACAGGCTGGATGGGAAGGGTTCACTGTGTTTATTATGTTTACAGGATTTTTGAAGTGAAGCATCAGCACCGGAAAGTGGAAAACCAAATCAAAATGGCTAAGATGGTGCTGATGAATGAGCTGAACAAACAGGCCAATGGACTCATAGAGGAACTGGAGGTATAAATGCACACATGGAGTGGATGGGTGGGTTCTAGGCCCTCTATGGGCTGAGAAACCAGACGCATTTCAGACTGGTTGTAGGTCCTGGAATTCGGATTTATAATTTTCTGTAACTCTCTACTGCTTCTTGTATCTTAAAAAGTTTAGCCTAATTATGGGAGGGTGGCTCACAAAAGACTGGGAAATCAGTTCATATTCTTATCAGTACTGTGGATCAGTACTTACCTCTTTGACTGTGTAGGGTTATAGTCTTGGAAGATGCAGTCATGAAACAACTGGCCTTCAGAAATTGTGTTCAAGAGACACAGACATTTGTTCATGCATCATGCATTCCCATACTTGCCCTGTAAAGTCTTCCACCATCTCTCCCTCCCCTCCTCCATCCAACAGCAGCTCATGACAACACACTCTGCCCTGCTAACCCCCTTCTCAGGGGTACAGTCTCATCCTATTCCATCATCGTCCACACTGATTTCACACAGGTCATCCTACTTTCCAAGCAGGTAAACTGTCCTCCAGGAACAGGAATCAGGGACTCTATCTTCTGTCTCTATACCCAGGGCATAACTAATGAGAGAAAGCGGAAACTGGAGCAACAGTTACAGAGCATCATGGTTCTCAACCGTCAGTTTGAGCATGTGCAGAATTTTATCAATTGGGCTGTCTGCAGCAAAACAAGCATCCCTTTCCTTTTCAGCAAGGAACTGGTAAGAGAAATCCCCAGCTTGAACCTGTTGGAAGCACCATCTCTGTCACAGGGATATTAAGACTGTCCTTGTAAATGCCCCTTTCTTACGTTGGAAGGAGGAATAAGAAAGCAGCTCCATCCATTCTTCAACTTTATACATTGTTTCTGGGTTAGAATCGCATCTCCTTGCAAATCCCTTAAATACAAAGAATTCAGTAGCTGAAATGGTTCTGTCTCCTTCCCAGTAACTCAGCTGGGAAAATATGTAGTTCTTTGTTTTAGCTCATGGGTTCAGATGTTATCCTGGACATGAACAATGTGTTGAGTATTGCATAGATGCTGCCATAGTCTGAACAGGGGCCTAAGAGGGAAGGAGGAGTTGAAGATGAGGTTGAAGGTGAGGAGTTGGAGGTGAGGTTGGGCTTGGAATGATGGTGATGTCCAGGACAAAAAGGAGGAATCTGGGTGAAGTTGGTGGGGTTTTTGTGCCAGTAGAGCATCTAAAAGGATTGTTTTATTTAGATGGGTCTGAAAGTCCAGGGAGACTTTTAGTAGTCACTGAGATATCAATACTGTTATGGTGGGAGAGTCTGTGGAAGAAGAATTTGAGAGGAAATCTCGAATACCGTAATTTCATCGTCAAGGAAGAAGTTGAAGGAAGTACAGCTGGAGGCAATGGTCAGAGGTTGGTTGGAGGAAAGACAGAGAGGGTGGTGCACAGACGGTAACTGATTCTAATTTAAAGTGGTGGTTGTGGTCTGGGATACGCAGGCGAAAGAGGATAAATAGTAAAGAGAGGGCTTAGATCTTGGAGTCACTAGGTCCTTGATGATCTTTTGAAAGAAGTTCTGAGACTTTAAGAGAACCAAAAACCACAACAGGGAGCCTAAGGGTGGGAGATGAGGGAGACACATAAATAGAAGGGAAATACAAATAGCTTGAGAAGCAGGAGAGTTGGGGAACTTTGTATTCATCAATATGGGAGAAGAGGTTGAAAAAAGAGATGAGTTGGCGGAGTGAATACTCTGAAAAGGCAGGAAGAGAGGAGACATCTAGAGTGAACTGGCTGACAAGAAGGGAACAGTGTAATACAGTTAACTTTGGAGGTAGGAAGGGTACACACTAGGGGGAGTTTTTCCTTTATGATGTATTTTTTCCTCTGTGAAGTGGGAGGTAATAATAAGAGGCACTGAGTAAGTGGCACTGAAGTGAGGATTTAATAAAAATATAGGGCAGTGAAAGAGGAAGCTGACAAGAAAATAATTGACAAAAAAGAAGGACTGAAGAGTCCATTACTTATCATTGAGATGTCCCTAGATAATGTGACTTTGAGATGGCAGGATTGGTCAGGGGTAGGAAGAGGTGATAGGGAGAGGATTTGAGTGCTATTGATGTGTTAATGAACAAGATAGAACGCTGGGAAGACCCTGTGGCTGGAGGGGTAGGGCTGGGAGAGTTCAGCGAAAGTTCATAATTGAACTAGTTTTGAGCAGGGAGTAAGTTGTTGGACTTTAAGGTCTCATGGGTATGGATGGTTTTAGACAATGAATAGGATAAGGAGATGGTGACTGAACTGAGCCTAGAGTTGAAGGTGATTAGGAGCCGAAGGAAATTAGAAGCCAGGATATTAGTTAACTAGATTATGTCAGGATAAATTGGACACTTAGATAAATGAGAGCCAGTGGTGGGAAACAGATGAACGTACTGAGAGAGGAAGATGAAAATTGGTAGGTGGAAGGATACCAATAGGACACCTGGAGAATATCTGCCTTATCTAGGCTTCTGAATTGAAGTGATTGTAGAATGAATGAAGCTGCTAGGTAAACGATGCCCTGGGAGAGAATTAGAAATCACTTGTGGCCTGGAAGAAAAAAAGATGATTAGCAGTTCTGAAAGCCAAGATAAGGGGGAAGGGGGATCTTGTGAGAGGCTCAGCAAGCCATGATAAGGGGGGGGATCTTGTGAGAGGCTCAGCAAGAAAGAAAGAACAAATTGAGGCGGGGGGGGGGAGGTGGTGGTGCCCAGTGCAGTAACTTAGTGGCTGAATTCTCGCCTTGTATGCACTGTTATCCCATTTGGGCGCTGGTTCATATCCCAGCTGCTCCACTTTTCATCCAGCTCCCTGCTTGTAGCCTGGGAAAACAGTAGAGGATGACCCACAGTCTTGGGATTCTGCATCCATCTGAAAGACCCCGAGGAAACTCCTGGCTTCAGATCAGCTTAGCTCTGGCTATTGTGGCCAGTTGGATAGTGAACCAGCAGACAGAAGATCTTTCTGTCTCTCCTTTGCTCTGTATATCTGCCTTTCCAATGAAAAAATAAAATGTGGAATAAATTTTAAAACAGAACAAATTGGAGGAAGGGGGGTTTACAACAGTGTTAAGTATCTGTGACTTTGAACCCTTTAGCTTTCCCTAACTGAGGGAGAGGGAATTTCATTCAAGCATAAGATATGCAAATAAATAATCTTTGGTGGTGTTGTCAGATTGTGTTTCAGATGCAGCGATTACTGGAGACGAGTTGTAACACAGATCCCGGCTCCCCTTGGAGTATTAAGTTCACTTGGGAACCTAACTTCTGGACCAAGCAGCTGGCTTCCCTTGGTGAGTCAGGGCCCACCCTGTAGCCTCTGATCTAATTGCAAATAAATATAGAAGAGTAGGTGTTTGGCCTGGCAATTAAGATACAGGTTAGGACACCCGTACCCCATGTCAGAGTACCTCAGTTTGATTCCTGGTTCTGGCTCTGACTCCTGACTCCAACTTTTCACTAATACCGTCACTAGAAGACAACAGTGATGGTCCAAGTAACTGGGTTTCTGCTACCCACAGACAGTTGTAGGCTCCCAGTTTTGATCCAGACCCGCCCCTTGCGGTGGGCATTTGGAGAGGTGAACTAGTGGGTGAGATTTGCCTGCCTGTCAAAGAGATTAAGAAAAAGAAAAAAATAATGGCTATAGAGCATTTGCTAAACTTACTGGGTAGGTCAGCATGTGCTTAGGGTTAAACACATCTTAAAATTGTCAGTGGTCATGAATTCACTCTGTAAGCCATATTTTAGGAGTGAATAGCAGTGAGCGAGTAGCAGTATCAGTACAGTACTTGGTGATAGGATCATTTCAAATATGGCTTTCGCATTATACACAAGTGTCCCTGTTACCTTGGTCATGCAGTTATATGTGTGTAGACACCAGTAGAGGTATGTAAGCAACAGTGAGGGCATGCATGTATGTGGTATGTGTGTGTGTGTGTGTGTGTGTGAGTGTGAGAGAGTGTGATACATACTTCCTTTGGAGTTGAGATGTTGGCAGATTATTCATGACCTTGTGCATTTTCCCCCCTGCTGCAACATTTCACTGCCATTCATCTTTAAGCAGTGTGTAGACAACTCAAAGTTGTACCTGTGTTAACATTTTAGTGAGCTAGTTAAACTAATAGCTAACTGCTGTCTTCATTTAAAGCTGTTAATCTTACTTGAACTTGAAAAGTAATGGATAAATAAATTATGTTTAGGTTTTTTGCTTGTTTTCCTCATCCCTTTGATCCAGTTCAGCAAATCTTTAAGGGGCACATTCAACAAAGGTAAACAAAGTACACCCTCTGCCCTTTAGGAGTTCAGTCTTCCCCTAGGTAAACCTCCTCAAAACAATGAGGTTAAGAAGCCCTTAGAATGACATAGCCGTACATACAATCTGCTCATGCACCAAGGACCTAGAAATCTTAGAGGGTGATGCTAGTACCTGGCACTGGAATTCCTTTTCTCTTTCATCCAGTTAGTGTGAGACATAGTTCCCTAGCCCCGTACCTGGAGTCTTGTATTTGGAGCACCTGCTCATTTGTCCCAGGGAGGACTCTCCATCGTTGGCTACTTTACAGCTCACTCCTTCCCCACCTCTGTGTATTTATGCTTTTTGTTTTGTCACAGTTTCAACTGGAGTGTGATGTTACAAAAGGAGCAGGTGCTATTTGCAGGAGCCCAGGCTTTCCCTAGTGGGATAGAAAGGTTCGAGGCTGAGCACCTGGGTAAAAGTTGAGCTAATTTCTCAAATGGTCCAGGCCCCCAAAGCAGGTGCATACAAGTGCTGTTCCTGGCAGCATCTCTGAACTGAGTCCTGGAGATCAGGGGTGGGATTTCTTAATGTCTGGGCCTGGTAAACGCTTGTTGAATGACATCCTTTGGTACCAGGAGCAAGCAAGAGCAATGAAAGAACAGCTGCTGGTTACCTTTGGAACAACTCTCTATTTTGGATTTCCAGGCTGCATAACTACAGAAGGCGGACAGCAGTCTCGGGCAGACACTCCTGCTTATGGAGGCTTACAGGGGACACCATCCTTTTATCAAAGCCACCAGTCCCCTGTGGCTCAGCAAGAGGCTCTCAGCCACACTCCTCACAAGTTCCAGGCTCCGACACTGTGTTCCTCATCTGTGTGCTGTTCCCACTGCACCCCAGTCTCACCCTCCCTCAAAGGTCAGGTGCCCCCACCCAGCATCCACCCAGCCCATGGTTTTAGGCAGCCCTCTGAGATGGTGTCCCAGCAGTTGGGGCCACTGCAGTGTCCCACCCTGCAACCTAGGGAGAAAGAGCTGACCTGTGGTCCGCATCCACCAAAGCTGCTTCAACCCTGGCTGGAAACCCAGCCCCCAGCAGAGCAGGAGAGCACATCCCAGCGGCTGGGGCAACCACTGACTTCCCAGCCCGTGTGCGTCGTCCCCCCACAGGATGTCCAGCAAGGAGCCCCCGCCCCACCCACCTTGCAGACACCCTCTATCCAAGTCCAGTTTGGCCACCACCAGAAGCTGAAGCTTAGTCACCACTATCAGCAGCAAGCACAGCAGCAGCTGCCACCTCCCCCGCCTCCGGCCCCGCAGCAGCCACCCCCGCCTCTGCCTCCATCCCAGCACCTGGGGTCTAGTCAGCATGAGGGCCCTCCTGGTCCTGCCTGTTCCCAGAATGTGGACATAATGCACCACAAGTTTGAGCTGGAGGAAATGCAGAAAGACTTGGAGCTTCTCCTCCAGGCTCAACAGCCCAGCCTGCAGCTGAGTCAGACCAAATCTCCTCAGCATCTGCAGCAAACCATTGTGGGGCAGATCAACTACATCGTGAGGCAGCCTGCGCCCGTCCAGTCCCAGAGCCAGGAGGATACTGCTCAGGTGAGGTGCAGGGTGGGGCTTGTTTTCTCATCCTCAGGAGGCATTTCCTCCCCAGGCACAGGGTGTCATAGGGACAGTTTCCTCATCTTAGAGTGCCCTTCAAGTCATCTCATGTTTTAAAAGTCACCTGGACCCAACTTCTCACCTCAGGAAAGCTTTAGAGAACACAGACCTGGACCCAGTGAGGATCTGGTCTTGGACATCTCCCCCCCACCCCCCCCCACACACACAGAGGTGTGGCTTAGCTGCTCCCTGTCATTATGGATGACACTAGGGATCTTGCCCATAAATAGCATCTTCTGAGTTGTCTTTATGGCCTCTCAGACTCCCTTTCTGGGAACTTAGGAATCCCAGATGTGGTGAAGGGGCATACTTCAAGAGTGGATTGAGGGAATGCAATAGATCCTGAAGGGGTCATACTGTTCAGGCAAAGACTTTATTTCACATCTGCTGAGCTAGATAGAGGAGTTTAATGTGTGCTGTATTACTGATCCTAACAATAGCACTTTGAAGCATTATCATCTGTGTTACAGGCACAGAAGTCAGGGTTAGGGAGGACAAGCCATCTGCTTAGAAATCATCCAGCACTGGGAAGTAGAGCTAAGGCTTGGATCCAGCCTGCTGGCTGCCCTGGAAGGCTGCAGAGGGGCCTTGTTCTTTTCCTGGAGGATATTGAATATTGCTCCTCCTTTTTCTCATCTGAAGGACAGTTGAAAATGTATAGTTTGTACCTTCGGAATCTTGGAAGCATTCCATATTTTCATTTGTAGCTTCTGCTTATTTTTCTCCCCAGAACCTTCTACTGTAGTCTTTGCTCCCTACCATTCCCCCACCTTTTTCCTCAGTATTGTCTTGTTTAGATCTATAATCATGTATATATTTTCAAATTAGTTCTGGAGACTTTTGCTTTGTTACAAAATGCAGTGTCTCATGTTTACGCTTCATCACTGACAACTTCAGATAATGCTACAAATGTTTTCCCCTGAGGCTTCCTTAGTTCCTTTGAGGGAATATTTAGTAATCTCTCTCATTACACAGGACGGGCTAGGGTTCATGGAGAACGGCAAGCTAAATAATAATAATAAAAAAACAGTTATGATTGCTCAAGTGAATGTGATCAATGAGTTCAACGTTCTCCTAGGTTTGGGTTCAATCCTGATACTGTCATACTAATATTGATTCTTAAGAAAAATTTCGACAAGAACATTTTCTGCCAGTGCGTAGGTAGTGACAGTGAGCAAGGCAAGGGGACTAGCCTGCCCTCACTGCTGCTTATTGTGTCTCTGCTGCTCTCCATGGTGAAATACACCCAGGTTTGTATTTTTTCTTCAGGCTGCAGATGAGTCCCCTGCCTCTGAGGGCCCAAAGCCAGCTCTCCCAGTTGACAAGAATTCTGCTGCTACTGCTGCTGCTGCTGCCTTGCCACAGGCACCTGGGGAAGAAACTCCTCACATTGTCCCCCCAGGGGATGGCACCATCCAGCACTCCTCTCCCAGTGTGGTGAGAAAGGTACTAACGGAGCCTGCTTTCCCTGATCACATGGAACCCACTGCCAACCAACACCCCAGGCCCCTGGATGAGGCTGATGGGGTGGGGGGTGGAATGTCCCCATCGCATCCACGGATGCTACACAGCCCTGACTCATGCCTTCTGTCCTAATGAGTCAGCTGTGTGGGTCCTCCTCCATCCCTCTTCCCACTCCTACATGTGTGCTTAAAATGAACCTGCTGGGCTTCACTTAGAGTAGAATGGGAAAGGGAAAGAGATCTAATTTGTTGAGCCCTCATTTGGCATGTGGAACTGTGTATGGTGTCTCACAAGCATTATCTCATTTAATCCTTCCAACATCTGTGTAAGATGGACTCTGTATAGCCAAGAAAATTGAAGTCCAAGGCCATACTACTAGTGGAATAGATAATTGAGATACATTTTAAATGAAATAGGTTGAAATAAAGAGCCTGGACTTTTTTTCTCAGTAATGAAAATGGGGGAAATATTTTATTTAACTACACAACCTGAAGTTGCTTGGTTTAGAATTTGAATCAATAGAAGCTGCTGGTGAGTGGTCTACAGGAATATCCCCATAGAGTTTGCTGAGCATCTAGAAACATTTAGATCTCTTGAAAATGAGCAATTGGAGGTATTTCTATTCCCTTCCTTTCCAGCTTACTGAATATGTTCATTTATTCTGGTAAGAACTCCAAATTCCTCAGTTGTCTGTTCTCATTCTGCCCATTAGCCCTCAGTTCTGTGATTTTTTAGCTGGGACTTCGGCACTGTGATATGATATCTATCTATCCCTCCCTAGGTTTCTTGGTCCTGTTCTAGTTAGACTATTGCCTTCTCTGGCAGGTTAACCCGAGCCCTCCTGATATTTCCATTCAAAATACGACTTGGAGCTCTGTTAGCTATTTGATACCTTCCCAAACTATACTATTGACTTTGCAGTGTCTCTGTGGTCTTGTAGTCCCAACTCTGCTGGCTACTCAGTGGCTACCCCTTACCAAGTTTCCCCAGCAATAGCATGGCCATTTAGGAGTATGTCTTAGATCACATAAACTTAAGAATCAAGTTTAGAAGAGGAAGGGATGGTACTGACACTGTGGCACATTGGGTTGGGCCACTGTTTGCAGTACCAGCATTCCATATCAGAATTTTTTTAAAAGATTTCTTTATTTTCATTACAAAGTCAGATATACAGAGAGGAGGAGGGACAGAGAGGAAGATCTTCCATCTGATGATTCACTCCCCAAGTGAGTGCAACGGCCAGTGCTGTGCTGATCTGAAGCCAGGAGCCTCTTCCGGGTCTCCCACGTGGGTGCAGGGTCCCAAAGCTTTGGGCCATCCTCAGCTGCTTTCCCGGGCCACAGGCAGGGAGCTGGATAGGAAGTGGAGCTGCTGGGATTAGAACCAGTGCCTGTGTGGGATCCTAGTGTGTTCAAGGCGAGGACTTTAGCCACTAGGCCACGCTGCCAGGCCCCCATATCAGAATTTGATTCCCAGCTGCTATAATGTACCTGGGAAGAGTAAATGGTGACCCAAGTATTTGGACCCCTGCCATCCACGTGGAAGACCAGAATGAGATTTTTGGCTCCTGGTCTAGCCCTGGCTATTACAACCATTTGGGAATGAACAACAACAACAAAATGGAAGATATCCGTTCTTCTCTCTCCCTCTCCCTTTCCTTCTCCCTCACCCTTCTCCCCCTCTCCTCATTACTCTCTGCCTCTCTCCCCACCAAAGTAAAGAAATAGAAGGGTTAAGGCCCAGCGCAATGGCTCAATTGGCTAGTCCTCTCCCTGCAAGCTCTGGAATCCCATATGGGCACTGGTTTATGTCCCTGCTGTTCCACTTCCCATCCAGCTCCCTGTTTGTGGCCTGGGAAAGCAATGGAGGGTGGCCCAAAGCCTTGGGACCCTGCACCTGCATGGGAGACCTGGAAGAAGCTTCAGGCTTCAGATTGGCTCAGCTATGGCCATTGTGGCCATTTGGGGAGTGAACCAGTATATGAAAGATTTTTCTCTGTCTCTCCTTTTCTCTGTAAATCTGCCTTTTCAATAAAAAATATATATAAAAATAAATTTTTTTTTTAAAAAAAAGAAGGGTTAGCATAAATGACAACTTGGCAGTTCCTGACAATGCTTGAAGTTTCAAGAAGCCCTAATATAATTAATAGCTTTTTTTTGGTACCTGTCCTTGAGGTTTAACTTCTTATATTTGACTCAGCCACCTGTCAGCCCATTTATTTATTTATTCAATGTAAGAAATGTGTTGAGTATCCTTCATTCAGAAAATTGGGGATTTTGATTAAGGATGAGACCCAAGTATAAGCACAAAATGTGTTTTGTGTATACCTTTTTAAATTAAAAAAAAATTTGAAAGGCAGAGTTAGAGAAAGAGAGAGAGAAGAATCTTTATCTACAGTTTATTTCCTAAATAGCCACAAGATTATAAGCCAAGAGCCTAGAACTCCATCCAGTTCTCCCAGATAGAAGACTGGAGCCATCTTCCACAGCTTTGTCTGCTGCATTATCAGGGAGCAAGATTAGAAATGGAGTAGCTGGAACTCAGACTGATGTTTATATAGGATACTGGCGCTGGAGATTGCAGCTTAAGGTACAATGCCACAAAGCCAACCTTTCATGTATGTACCTTATACACATAGCCTTAAGATAACCTTATATAGTAAAAATACTAAAAATAGTTACCTGTGTTTTTGCTACTACCCATCATATGAGATTAGGTGTGAAATTTTCTATGTGTGGTGTCACTTGGATTTTGTATTTTTGGATTAAGGCTATTCAATCTACATGTGTGTCTGTAAGTATTTATGTGTACACACTAACGAATAAAATGCTCATGCACTGGAGCTTACCATTTTGTGGGAAAGGGAGTTAACTAGGCAATAGCAACAGACTATGATAAAGTGCTATGATCGTCATTGAGGTGTACCCCAGTGGTGTTCCTCACTGTGAGAGAAGAGGCTGTTCATGCAAGATGTGCTAGAGAACATTTTTGTTTGTTTTTATTATTCAGGAGGCATAGAGACAGACAGCTGTCATCTGCTGGTTCACACCTCAAATGACCACAGTGGTTGAGCCCAGTCCAAGTCAGAGCTGGGAACTCCATCCATGTCTCCCACTTGCGTGGCAAGAACCCAAATCCTTAAGCTACCACGACTGCCTCCCAGATTGCACTGGCAGGAAGCTGAAGTCGGCAGCTAAAACTGAGTATTAAAACCAGGTACTCTCATGTAGGATGTAGGGGTACTAACAACTAGGTCAAATGCCTAACTGGAGGAAATGCTTTTAAACATATTATTGTGAGTGTGTGTGGCATTATGGTATAGTGGATTAACTTACTGCCTGTGATGCTGGCATTCTGTATAGGAGTGTAGTTTTTGAGTCCTAGCTGCTCTGCTTCTGATCTGGCTCTCTCCTAAGGCACACAGGGAAGGCCTTGGACCTCTGCCACCCTGTGTTGGAGACCTGGATGGAGTCCTTGGGTTCTGGGAGACTTGGATGGAGTTCTTGGGTTCTGACTTTGGTCTGTCTCAGTGCTGAACATTGTGCTCATGTGGGCAGTGAACCAGTGGGTGTAAGATCTCTCTCTCTCTTTCTGTGTCTCCTTTTCTTATACCCTGCCTTTCAAATACATAAAGCAGATATTTTTTAAAAAATGAGAGGAGGGGAAATTGGCTTAGTGAAGAGGGAAGAGATGGGAATAAATGGTTGAAGGGGAAGGCAAGTAGGAATGTCCAAAAGTGAGAGAAAGCCTGGAACACTTAGTGGAATTTGGATAATTTAGCTTGGAAAGAACAGGTAAAAACCCTGGGGATGGAGAGTGATTCAAACTGGAGAGGTTGGAAGACCTTCTAAATTATGCTTTGAAGTTGGGCTTCAGTAGTAGAGGCTATGAGTGAATGAAGAATTTCCAGCAAGGAGGGACATGGCTTAATTTCAAAGGTTTCTTGTGCTGTGCTGAGGGGGGTCAGAATATAGAGGAATAGAAGACTAAATGCAATTGGTAGTGATAGGAATGGAGACGAGGATCTCAGCAGGTCAGGTCCCAGGAGCGTTGGATTGTGTCTGATGATAGGAGATGAGGCAGAGGAACTACTTTTAACTCCGCACTCAGGTCTCTCTTGATGGGAACACGGGGGAAAAGGCATGTTTAAGACAGACTGTGTTAAGTTTTAAGCTACTTGTGTCACCTCATGGAAGACATCTCAGAAGATGACTGGAAGGATATAGTTGTAGCTGTAGGTGTTGGTAGTTCAGAAGTAAGTATGGAGCTTGGCAGTGCTCAAGGGCTCATGGAAGCCATGCTCTAAGTGATCATCTGATGAAGCCCAGTGGCCTTCTGGCCCACAGTATGGAGGGAAAGGGGTGAGGGCTTAGAAGCGTGGAGTCTGTGCTGCCTGTGTGAGTGGTCCACAGTACATTCTGAGCAGCAAGGGTTGACCATGGGGTCAGCAAAAATCCTGGATATGAAATTCTTAGTTTTTGTTGCCCTTGATCTTATTGATTCAAACTCATGCAGAGGGCTGTAGATAGCCTGATATGTTTCAGTTGCTTGTAGGTTTCTTCATGGCTTGGACTCCTATGTTTAAGGAAGTTTTGTGGCCTGGAGGACGCTTTGCATTAAGAGGTCAGCCTTGACAGAGAGCCACTGGTTATATCCAAAGTGACTGCATTGAGAAGAAGGGCTTGGAGCTGGGGCCAGGTAGAGGTTTGAAGTCTGAGGCTACCTAGCAACATTTCAGAACCTCTCTTCATGGAATGACAACATTTTGTGCAGTATTTTTCTTTTCATTGGTTTTTACATAGATTATTCCATTGCATTTCTTTGTGTATATTAACATGACTGTGAGGAAGCCACCATACAATTCCCTTTTGAAAGATGTGGAAACTGAGACACAGAGAGGTTAAGTGACCCAACTAATGTTACACAGCAAACAATGGGCCATGTTAGAGCCAGGAACCAGACTGCATTCCTGCTTCAAGCTT